TGCTATTGTTTTACTTTTATTACCACAAAAAAAATATCCAATTACTTAATTGTCAAAATAATTGACCAATTACCAAAATAATCGTTAGTGACAGAAATAGATTAGTTAAATTATAAGTGAAATACACCTGCATTGTTTTGCATTTTGTGACTTTCGGTTGAATAAAAGACTATTTTTCCAATCATATTTTGTCACTGAAGATTTCTTAAAAATATCGTTTCGTCTTGTTCTCCTCAACGCAATATTGTGTTTCGTCACACCCCGGCCTAAACACTATTGCTACTGATTTTTGCTCAGTCACGTTTCCAATGCAAAAATTATACTTCATCCTATTTTTAAAGTGCAAGGTACATTAAGCATTTACATCACTCCATGTTCATATTACCAAACTAACACAAATAAAACTGCTCTCATTATTTTGACTTTCTTTTGTCCATTTCATCATAATATGTTTGTTTTTTTTCGCAGACATCACAGTCTTTTATTTAAAGCAATATATAACCATTGTTTTAAACAACTATATGCAAAAATCAAATCAACTATAATCAGCTGCTGTTGAATTTAAAGCTGAAAAGTTAATACGGTTCTATTACTACTGTATTTAGGCAGTAGGTTGTATATGTAGTTTACTAGGTTTTTAGAAAAAGCCAGTGAGTCATCCATTACCAAACAAAATAAACAAAAATGATTTATTTTCAAATCATTTGTACCATTTTAAAGTTTATGGAAGTAAATTGTATCTCATCATCGTGAGACATGTTGTATATTCTCAGGGTTGAATGAAGAAACCAAGTATTCACATCCCACACAATAACGGCTGCTTAGACAATATTTGCCAGGAAAACAATCCTAAAATGTTCTCTATTTCAAGATAAGTTTGATTTGAATCAATATTTAGAGTCAGTAAACAAATAGGAAAGTTTATAAGAAGTGGAGGTGAATGTTTCTGAGAGTTGCAACCTTCGGCCCATCCAAGCTCAGAGACGCCTCGGGCTGAGAAAAACAATGGAGGACACTGAGATTCCTTCCCTATGCGATTGTTTTATTTAGAATTTGCTTATATAAGACATAAAACAATCGCAAGTGAATCAGAATTGTACTCCATACAGCCTTTTATGGTAATTCGATAAATACAAATGCAGATTTGTATATATATTTACATTCAAAAGCTGTCACGACACTTTAATTCACGTTTCCATATATATTTGACGGAACTACTGATCTGTTAAGCATTACATAATATTCATTAATGACTTTTTAAATACTGCTAGGCAATGTTTTTATATACTCCAACTCTAAATCTGCAAAATGTCACTGACAGTTGAAGACTGGTGACCCTTTAGCAAAGTCACGTCAGCGCTACAGGGCCAAAACACAACTCCCGATCACTTCAGCTCAGGATCGGAAAGCTATTCTAGGAGCATTGATTGTTTTGGGGAGCCACTTTAACTGACTAGATCAGACAACATGAGGAGAAAAGAAGGGAAATACTATGTATTTAAAAGGAAAGAAAAAAAGAGACAGTCAATGAGAAAAGGAGACATGGAATTAAAAAGAAGAATGGTTCTGGTCCCTGTCAGGGCTCCATGGCAACACCGTATATATCCAGTAATATTTCCAGACCTCACACTCTAGGCACTCTGCAGTATCTAATCTTCAGCCTAATGACATGCTGCCTTGTGGAAATATTTACGCTTTCCTCTTGGAAATGATAACCGGTTATTAACTCTATATTGGCTCATTAAATCCTGAACTAAGCATATAATGCATTACATGCGGATGGAGGGTCGAGAGAAGACGACCTTATCAAAGACGGGGGATTCTTGCAGGGTGTCAGTAGCTGGATTTCCATCCAAATGTTTTACATTTTTTTAAATGTATTTCAGAAAATTTGACAAAAGAGAATGCAAAACATTGAACTTTATACAGTAGCACCGTGTTTGTCAACTTTGTTCTGAGAAAGAGTGGGACACGTTTCCAAAGAATGAAAATACGGCATCTGTTTTGCAAAAAGAAAAAATTTTCCAGTACCTTTAACTCCACCTCAGCCTAGCGCATAAACCTTATGGACATTTTGAGAGTTTATGCGAATATCAAGTGTTTAAACTCAGCGCAAATTTAAAATGCGCATAAATGGAATGGAAAACCAGCAACTGTCCACTTGGACTGGACGTCCATGCAAAACATCTAACTCTGAATTGCGATGTAACCTTTGCCTTTAAAAGAGAAATGTGGAATTTTTAAGAGGGCAGAATTACAGTTATTCATCACATAGAGGGTTTAATTCATCAGCCCTGAAGGCACGAGAAGATGAACTCTGTTTACCACTAAAGCTATTCTGGCTGTTTTGGAAGTGGCCATCAATCTCCAGCTATCTTTAAAAAAGAAAGCATCAGTTTCAATCACCCAAGAGACGGCTAGTCAACTGCTGAAAAGATTTCTCTTCTCCTCCTTGTCTCTTCAAGGTGAAGTTTCCCCAACTGACGTGAAGACCCTGGGGAGGCGTGATATTAATGCTTTAAAATATTACAAATCCTACCAAAAATACACATGTGACTCCACTCTTTGGCCCTGCTGTTGTTCTCAATTAGCAAGTTCAATTAACCTGTGCAACTGAGGCCTCTAGATACACCAAGACCTCATTGGCCTACAAAGATGGCAGTCTAAATGTTAAAGCATTTTCCTACAAGTGATTTTCGCTGTGCTCTATCATCCCCTATGGTGCGGCGAAATAAACATGGACCGGAATTGTTTTTAGATTGATGTCTAAGACCAGAATGTTCTTCTCCCTAACCATCATCCTATTTAGCCTGAGCAATAATACGACTGTTTATCAGCGCTATTACTTTGATACTAGTGATTGCATTGGCCAATTACCTCAGCGGGAGGCCAGTGTTGCCCTGCACAGTTGAATAGTTGTGTGTTTTTGCGGCAAGAAGAACAATTAGTAATGCAAATCTCTGTCCACTCTGAGGAAAAAGTGTGATGGACCTACAGGGGTGGCATCAGACAGGACAACTGGAAATGCTGTCCTGGGCCCTGTGATGAGGGGAGTTCACAAAGGTTCTCTTAGTCTATCTATATTTGAGTCTTCAAAGCAATAATTCTCCACAAAATCAAAATGAGGACATTATTGATTCACCCTCATGTCATTACAAACCTGTTTTTTTTTTTCAGTCTATACATAAAGATCATATTGACCACATCTTAAACTGCAAAAATTACCCCCCAAAAAAAGTTCATACAAAATTGTGTGCTATATTCAAAGTACTGAAGCCATAGATTAGCTTTGTGTAAGGAACAGACTGAAGTTTAAGCCTTGGTCATTGAGTCTGTAAGATAGACTGAAGAACCAAATCAGTCCAATCAGTGAATGAATCATTCAACTTGGTTTTGCGAACCATATACTTCGAAATTGAAAAGATTTGTCTCAAATGAACAATTCGATCATGAATTGAACACTGCTACTTCATTGAACAAATCATTCATACTGTTTTTCCAAAAGAATGTTCAGATCATGAGCAAATAATTGTTTTAAATCTGTTCATTGGATCAATTAATCCAGTTCACAAAACGTATATGACCGATTTGATCACTGAAGTAGAATTGTCTTAATGAGTGAATTGTTCTTTTGATTACATTTTTTCAATGAATCATTTTTCAAATGAAATCGATTGAAATTGGTCTTAAAGTTAGGCAAGGGATGTGTGAGAGCCAGCAATGTGTTCACAAGGAAGTTTAGAAAGCCTTGCTAGTCACGTCTGAACACACATTATACACACAATATTTACACCTGTGTTCTTCCTGAGGAAAAGATCCCTGACCTTTCTCAGACTACCCATTATCCTCATCATGTTACGGGCTGTGGAAGATAGGGCTATCGAGATGGGGGGAGGTGAGCAGTGATGTCTGACTCCCATCTAGCTCTTTTTTTTCTTCACTAGTGTTTTTTTGTCATGAACAAAGCAATGTCTAATCTTTTAAGTGAACAAATTCTTAATTCACTTCCATACACTTACAACTCAGAAATCTCTCCTGTCACAGGAGTGCTTTGGTTACTTTTTCCTGACTTCAAAGACTTTATATACAAATAGCATAGAAGTGCAAGTATTGGTTGGACCAACTGAACGAATATGCCCTTCACTGAACTACGTGGACGAGACAGAGGCACTTGTACACTATATGCTAATCTAGCATGACACTCTTATCATTTCTGCCATATGCTTTCCTGATTTCAGCCTTAAAGTGAAGTCAATGAGACATCTTGTCTGGAAAATGAACTAAATGAACTGGGACAGGTCATTTGCAAACGAAATGAACAAAGAAACTAACTCTTTTGTGAACAAGAATCTGAACAAAAACTAGCAGGTTTGATTTGCGGCGCAGATTTGAGTTTAGAAAACTAGTTTTAATGGGTGGTGTTTTTTTCAAGCTGTTGCTGATTATGGATTGATAAAAAGAGATATCAAAAATCCCCTCAGTAAAAACTCTAATATGTCAACAAAATGTAACAAGAATTTTGAACCTGGCTTTATCCAATGTTCATATTTCTGCTCTTGAAACGTATGTGAACGTGTGCATATTTAATTAGATATAGCCTCATTTGCATATTTAAAAACATTTAAGAAAACCTGTAATACAAAACAATTGCCATAATGTACTGTGATTAATCAACTGGTGAAAGAATAGTGATATATATATATTAGTTAAAATGTTTACACTGTAGTGTCTTGCTTTAAAAAAGGAAGGTGCAGAGAGTGGCGTCATAACAACCGTTGCAGCGTCGGTAGAAATTGTATATGCACAAAGTCTGTTACTTTACAGTAACCAAACAAACTGAACTCTGATGCCAAACCAGGCAAATCAAGTATGGTAATTAAAACTGTGAACCTTTGATATGGCACAGAATATTAGGACACTATGGAAAACATAAAATATTAATATGAAATCTGAGATGTCATGTCGGGAATGGCCTGTAATGGCTCACACAAAGTACTTACCCTAAGAAAGGACAGGTCACGACTGCGATCGATGCTGGTGATCTCGAGGTTACCCATCACCACCTCGCAGTTCTCGTAGTATTTACGAAGGGTCCGATACTGCTGGTCCAGGTCTGACAGTGTACTCAGTTTATTCTCTGTGCCAGTACATACTGCAAAAAAACAACAACAAAAAAACATTACATTTTGATGTAAACAATAGATGCAGGAACTGGTTGGTGCTTCAGTCCATCCAGCAATGCAATTCAATCATGCCTGAAGACAGACAAGGAGGCTCAAGGCCCAGACGGACAACTTGACAAGTAATTAAACAGAGCCATTTCTGCTCATCAAACACCTTGCACCAATCAAATATATTTGCCATCTGTTGCATCAGCTGGCAGTGCCTTTGAGCCAAGAGTGTAGCCCTCCCTCTCACGCCTCACTGAACCACTGTCACAACATCCACGAGCAAATCCACGCCTATCCCATGCCACCCGCTCTCTGCCCACCAGAAAGACAGAGAGAGAAAGGGGAGTCAGCACATGCATTACGACACCATGTGATTAGACTAACTGACAATGCAGCTACACATACTGTATTATACATGATATACAGCTACAGCTGTTTGGATAATGTTATGCTACTTTCTTATATGCAACAGCAGAGACCTTATTCATCAAGTGCTCATTAACAAACTCACGCAAATTGAAGCGGGGGTGGTTGCTTCATGTCGAATAAATACTTTTTCTAGGCCACATCTGCAAGCCTTCAATTTAAAGGAATATTTGACCCACAAATCAAAATTTTTCTTATCATTTAATCACAATTTACATTCCATCCTTTTTACCCCTGTGACTGGATCACTGAGTTGAACTTCAAATCAGTATGATTCATGATTAAATCATTGAGACCAGACTGCATTTCTTAAAATCAGTGTAACCCTAAGTAGATTGTAGAACCATTGGCACCGATGTTCTCTACTAGCTTAGCTCACAATGCTTTTGACAACTGTTTTGTGAACTGGCTCAAATGACTCATTGAAAAGATTTGACTCAAAATAACATAATTTACAACATCTTCACTTCTCTCTTAAACATACTAGCTACGTTAGATGTCCAGTATTTCAGTGAATCACAACTTTAATTTCAATGTATTCTATTATATGGATTCTTGAAAGTCTTGAAACATGGACTGGTTTTATTATGTTTTATGATGCTTTTGCATCATTTTAAAAGCTTGAAAGCTTTTAAAGGAAGAACGATAGCCACTACAAGAACATGAGTTTAAGTAAATGTTGGCAGAATATTCATTATTTTTACTTCAATCACACTGGTCAAAAGTACTATTTATTTCTTAGTTTAACCATTTTAATGAGCAACAAATTACTGAACGCACTTTAGGAAAGTATGATTAATTCTGATTTTGTGTTGTCTTTTTTAAAGACCTCAAAGCTCTAAAGTCTTCATTAGTAATCAAGAGAAGCACATAAAAACCTTCCAGTCTCCCTCAAATTAATCGGGGTAGAAAAACCACAAAATAGTTCCCCTAAAAATACAGATTTTGAGAAGAATATAAAATGTAGAGAGATTGAAATACGTTGAGGTCAGGTGTTAGACTTGGGTCTTTTCAATAACCCTTAACATGCATTAGAGCGAGGGAGGTATTATGAAAGAAGCTTAGACGTAATAAACATTTATTGCACCCCGAGGGGATCCGATGTGAGATTACAGGTGAATTGTGGGATATAATCTTGTTAGAGGGGATGTTCCTTTCTATACCATATTTCTATACCCACAGATAACCCACTTAAAGAAAAAACCCCACCAAAATCAAATTCATGAGGGAGACAACATATAGCCTACTGTAAAAACTGTATACTGTTTACCACCAACCTGCTTAGAGTTCACCCAAAAACTCATTTTTAATTTGTGATAATTTTCAACAAACTACCTGCCTCTTTTCAGAGCAAGATCTACGTATAATCACACTGATCTTTAGGAGCTAAGATGTGCTGTGTGTTCCTGCTAGGCACTTTATGCACACACATTTTGTGTACACAAACCACAGGTAAACATCATGTGAGCATCACAGCATACTTGAGACTTATAGATTGCACACTTCTTTGCCATGGGCCACAGTAGACATTAAAATGAAGCACGTCTTGCTTACAAACCCCCACGTTTGTCTTTTTCAGTAAAGAAGAACATAGTCGTGCTGCCCTTCAGCAAACCTCCTCACTGACGCACACAGGCAAACAACACAAAGAAATGGCATCTTTATTTCCAGTTTATGCCTCTGACTGCAGCTTGATTGAACTGTCTTTTTATTTTAGTTTTTTTGGGGATCATAAATGATGGATTGGGGCATGAATCTTTAATTGGATTGGATTGGGGCAAGTATTTATAATCAATCTTTATTTTTTCACATAGCTCATTGCAGGGCATTATGGGACTATACCATAACCACCACTTCTCTTATAATTTAGCCAAAAGAAGAGATCTAGGGTATGATGGCATTGTCTATCCTTTAAAAAATCTAAGATGCCTTTAAATCTCACTAGATTTTGGAACAGAGCTTCTAGTAACAAATAAATGTGTTCATATGAGCAAATAATGTTTTCTACCACTTGCTTTTATATATATTTTTTTTTCACAAAGAACAAACTTGAAAAAGTGGACCTCCACAGTAAGAGAATAGAACATGAACAGCTCTGAAGCACTAAGCCTTGAATATTTTTCATTCATTTTTGCAGACATATGGTGTTTGCAGAATAGATTTAAAGACCTCAGCAATACACACAATCAAAAATCAATCTTTGTTTGAGATAAATCGTTTTAAAAGAAACTGTTAATGCTGCTTTGTAGCTTGTGTAGTTTTTTAAACACAAACATTTTCTAGACTGAAACCGGGTATAGCTTTGAAACATTTTTATTTAGTGCTTTGTATATTAATTTTCTTACTACAGCAGCACGCTGGAGCGCACCTGATTCAATCCCACCACATGTCTAATGTGTTTCATCAAAGAAATAAAATGCTCTCTTTCCTTACTCAGTCACAGATACACAAACAAAACTGTTTATCATCCCCCCCCCGCATAGCTCTAACTCCTGCCGGCCTTGCATTTGTCAGGAAGGTGTGTGTATATCCAACATGAACGGAATACATAAAGCACATCCTTATCACTGGGACAGTGAAATATGCCTTTAGACCTGTGTCTGAAAGGTGCTCCCTCCATGGGAATCTAAACAGTATCGCAGCACCCGTTTCCTTTAGACATGGGAAAACTAAAAGAGAATTATTAAAAATTCTGTCATTATTTACTCACAGAGAAAACTGTGTGAGACTTAACCCCTATTAAATCCGTAAAACATTCTACAAACTGTTTTTGATATTTGGTTTGACGAGGGACCAAAATATTTGTCATCACAAAAACAAAATAGCATTTTTATATCATTTGGGTTTCAAATCACACCTGCTAATAAACAACTTGGCATAAACACGACCTCCATCCTCATCAATTCCGACTCCACTCTTGTATATATAAATATTCTCATTGGAATTAAACACTCCTCTATTAGTCGATGCTTTTCATAAGTATTGCACAAAATGACTTCATCAATGAAGAACGGGGGTTTATTGAACATCAATATAAGCGAGGAAAGAAGTCGGAGTCTCTAAGGCTTACTGGACCCACAGCAATGGCAGAAAAGGTCATGCCAATAGCCGGCAACTCATTGAGCTAAATAAAGTTGCAAATGTCACTTCCTGAAGTAAACATCGTCAATGCATTGGCTTAAAGGACGTGAGCGGATTGGAAGATCGGAGCTGATCGCCAGAGGGGTATGGTGATGGTGTGATCCATGCAAGCGTATTGCAGTTAGGTTTGGTCGCCTGTTAAGAGGGCATCTGGTGAAGGACTAAATGGTAATAATGACAGTCATGATTGCATCTCTGCGTGACAGTGCTACGGTCCGGTAACCATGTCCTCTACAGTCCCAGTCACTAGTCTATGGGTTTGCCCTCTCCATATGGGACCGGCTGATATTAGTATCATAAACACTTTAGCGGGCCGACTCGGCCGACTGAGCACTGGAGCTTTGAACTCACCCGTGAGGTCAGGACACGGTGACATTAACAATTGTCCGAAGGCTTGTGCACCTATAAATAATAGGTTTATTGCTCTCCGAATCACCCGAAGAGATGATTTATCAAGTAAATGTCTCATGAAATGATCATGAAAATAGTATCAGATTCACTAGAGGGCTCAGACTAAAATAGAGTTAAACGTTTTAAACTGGATGCCATTTAGCTGTCAATCCAATTTTTGTTTTAACAGTATATTGTTACAGTTCACCAAAAAATGAAAATGATGTCATTGTTTACTCTCTCTAATACTGTACCAAAAACATATAACTATATTTCTGCCGAAGAAAAGGGGATTTATTTTGTAATAAAAAGTGATGTAAAAAAAAAAAAAGAACTTTAAAATAAAATAAAATAAATAAAATAAAATAGCCTTTAGATGCACATAAATAGATTTCAGTCTGTTACTTAGAGCTATTTTCTTTTCTGCCGAAGAAAAGGGAATTTATTTTGTAATAAAAAGTGATGTAAAAATGAAAAAAAAAAAAATAGCCTTTAGATGCACATAAATAGATTTCAGTCTGTTACTTAGAGCTATTTTCTTTTCTGCCGAAGAAAAGGGAATTTATTTTGTAATAAAAAGTGATGTAAAAATGAAAAAAAAGGAATTTTAAAATAAAATAAAATAAAATAGCCTTTAGATGCACATAAATAGATTTCAGTCTGTTACTTAGAGCTATTTTATGATTTCAAAAGACTTAGAATACAGTGCACAAGTCATGGATTTTTTTTCTGACTATATGGTGATAAAGAGGCTTTGGAAAAGGGAAAAAAGAAATACAGCTATAAAAACAACACAAGGGTGAGTAAATGACAGAATTTAAAATATTGGATGAATTATTATCCCTTCTAAGAAGACTTCTATGGTACTTCTGCATCACTAACTTCTGCATTACTGAAAGTTAAGTGGACCTATTTGGAGTGGGATGTATCATTCGAGTATTGTACCTGACCACTGCCCTCCTGTGTGTCCTGGAGGAGGACAGCAGAGTCCAAAAGCTAAAGCTCCTTTTTGTTTTCTCT